CTCGCCATCTTTGCCTTTTTTATTTTGTGGAATTATCCTCATCTGATTCGTCATCATCCTGGGGTTTCATTGTTTTGCCACCTCTTGACCGCAAGACTGGTTGTTGGCGGGAACGTAAATAGTTTCGATTTGAGGTAGCCCTTCTTTCACTTAGCTGGCTGCGATGATTACCCGCTGCTGCCCTTGCTGCAGCCATTGATGTGCGTGTGGTCTTTCTATTGGTTGCATGGGAAGAGCTGGTATCCAAAGATTGACGCAATGATTTGCGTCGCATAACCTTTGGAGATTTCTTAGTAAAACTACCACGTAAAGATCTTAATCTACTACGACGACTCAGTTGTTGACTTTCATATTCACCATCATCATCTTCGGTATTTTGATTGTGATCATCTTCTACATCGTCCTCATCATTAGATTCCTGTTCATGGTCATTTTCATTGTCCTCGTCTTCGTCCTCATCGGCATTGCTAACCTCATTATCATCTTCCTCGTTTTCGGTCCCCTCCTCAAGATTCTCCTCAGTATCATTTTCCTCATCGTCATCTTCTTGGTCTTCATCATCATCCGCATCCTCCGCATCTTCAACTTCTTCCATTGTATCCTCATTATTCTCACTACCACTAACTGCCGTTTCCTCATGATCATCTTCAAGTTCGCTTTGATTTGAATCATCCCCCTCTTCCCTAACTTCCTCCTCCGAATCGTCATTATTTTCACTTTGTTCTCCCTGGCTATCATCTTTCCTAATTCCACCGCTAAGTCTAGTCGTCCGGCCACGTTTTTGTTGGTGCTGCCGTCGCTGTCTACTCCTATCAACGCTAGAGGTAGTCCTGTTACGACTATTCTTTTGTACATTTAATTGTTGCTGCTGCTGTTGTTGCCTACTACTTATACGACGTTTACGTCTGGTGTTATCACCATCCGTCGCTTCCGCCGCTGCCGCCCCACCTCTTCTAGTTGAGGTTCGTGCATTTACATTTCTACTGTTACGTAGCTGTTGCAAACGCCGTCGTTTATTGTTGGCAGCAGTAGCGGAACCTCTATCACGATTTCTAGCCATATTTGTTCTTTTGCTATTAGTCTTAACATTAGTTTTTTGTCTATTAACCTGATTTGTGGCATCCTTCCGTGAATATGTCAACATTTCATCATTTTCCGCTTCCTGCTTGAGCATTTCTTCCTCCTTTTGTAGGGCGGCCAAACGATTGGCTTCCCATTCACGTTTTTGCGCCTCGAGTTCTTCTTCGGCGGCACGTAATTGTTCCGCGGTCCAAGCGGCACCGGTTTCTTCCACAAAACGCATAGCATAACGTTCGATGGGTGAGAGCTGTAAAAAGTAGAATAAAAAAAACAAACAAATTTATTATAAAGTGATTCGAATTTGGATTAAAAATTTTGAAAAATGGTAAGGCCTTTCAATGGAAATCAAAACAAGAGATTGGATCGGTAGCAAATTCTGGTCATATAAGTAATTATTGTTTAACGTTGAGTGATATAATCAGGCGTGGGAAATATCGCTTTAACTATGTCTGAACGTCAATTTAAAAATATAATAATTCATCTAGGCATTAAATATTTGCGTTCAATGTCAATTCCCTGTAGAGGATGAGACGCATTCAACATTAAATATTCCAATGCCAAAAAAATCGAACTAAGAATTAAAAAAATAAAGAAAACTGTTTAACGTTGAGTGATATAATCGAGTGTGGGTAATAATCACTTCGACTATGTCTGAACGTTAATAATAATTAAAACTTTACATATTTATATAGGCATTAAATGTTTATATTTCAAATTATATACCCATAAAATAGAGAAAATTAAAAACGTTAAACATTTAGTGCCACAAAGTAATAAATATCAGTACAAAAAATTCGAATTAATAAAAGAGAATAGGTTATAAATTACCTAAATGACCTTGTTATATAATTATTAAAAAAAAAATATGTATTATTGCAAAATATTTTTGACACAAAACTGTTTAACGTTGAGTGATATAATCGAGCGTGGTATATAATCGCTTCGACTATGTCTGAACGTTAATAATTAAAAATTATTAATCTAGGCATAAAATGTTTGTGTTCAAAATTATATTCATATGATGAAAATGATCAACTTTAAACATTCAATGCCAAAGTTCAACACCAGTAAATAAAGTAGTCAAATCGGGCTGGGCCGACTATATGATATGCTTCACCACTTTGGGGGTATATTCTACATATGCATTTCAGACTAAATTCAGTACGCTATGCCAAATTTTGTGCAAATCAAACGAAATATAGGGACTTTTGTGCACGATTTACATTTAATCGGGAGAAAATATATATGGGAGCTATATCTAAATCTGAATCGATTTTCACGAAACTTAGCACACATCATTCTAGACTCAATTCAATAGGCTATGCCATATTTCGTGCAAATCGAAAGATATATAGGGACTTTGGTGCAGCATTTACATTACATTAAACGAAGGAAAATTTATATGGGAGCTATATCTAAATCTGAATCGATTTTCACGAAACTTAGCACACATCATTCTAGACGCTGTGCCAAATTGAAAGATATATAGGAACTTTGGTAAACCATTGACATTAAATCGGGAGAAAATATATATGGGAGCTATATCTAAATCCAAACCTATTTTCATTAAACTGAACACACACCATTCTAGACTTAATTCCGTACGCTGTGCCAAATTTTGCGCAAATCGAAATATATATAGGGAATTCGGTACACGATTTACATTAAATCAATTTCATCTAATTCGGATAATAAATGCGAAATTTAAAATTGATTGGTGTTCACAGGATTTCCGAATTTAATTTTTTTTTAATGCCCCATAAAAATACCTTATGTGTATGACCCATGTTGCGATTAAATCAATTAATCTTTTAATTCCTCAAATGATATCTGTATGACGTTGAGTGATATAATTAAGCGTAGTCAAATCGCTTTAACTATGTCTGAACGTCAATGAGAGAATTTATCTGGGCACTCAAAATATTCGTGTTCAAAAACAAAGAATAACATATTTTTCAACAATAGATATTTAATGCCCATATAATATATTTTAAATAACTTACAAACTGTAAATCAAAAAAAAATGTTTGACGTTGAGTGATATAATCAAGCGTGGTATAAAAAATCGCTTTAACTATGTCTGAGCGTCAATTGTAAGGTTTATCTAAGCATTTAATATTTGAATTACAAAATTAAAAGTTTTGCAAAAACAATAATATTCAATGCTACCAGAAAAACATTAAAAAATGTCTATTATACTTTCATGAGATCATTGTTAAAATAATTCCAATAAGTTTTGTATCCCTTCCTAAATATTTAATTTTTTTGATTTCCATTAAGTAGGAATTTTTAACCAATAAATTCATCATCAAGGACCTTGACTTTAAACATATACAAAATATAAATACGTTTCCCAAGACAAAAATATTTTCAACTACGTCCACAACGGAGTCTACGATCCCAAAGAATCCCAGTCCTTCTCGGCCAACGACTGGCAACCCATTGCACATTGTGTAAAACCAAATTATTTTAAAAACTCAACTAACCTGTTTAACCAAATTTTGCATTTCCAAATCGGCTTTACTGAGTTCAACATTAGCGCCACCACCCTCAGTATTTGTGGCAACTTCTTCCAGCGGTATATTCTCATCAAATTCTGCCAAATCGGCAGCAGCTTCCGCTCTAGCCGTTTTTGCCGCCTGGACATCTTGTTCATCCTCGGCAGCAGCAAGAGCACTTTCGAAAGCCTTCAACGATTGTTTTTCCAAATCAATTTCATTGCTCTCGACAACAGTTGATGACGCCGATGACGAAGGTGCTGTTTCACTTGATTGAGATGAGGCAATAGCTGGTACACCAGCTGCTGCTCCCGCCGCTTCACCCTGTTGTTGTTGCTGTGTATCCACATTGAAAAGATCCTTAATTGTGGAACTCTTAAAGTACGACGTGGTAAAGTTTCCACCCTCAATGGCCATATCACTAAGCATTCGTTTTTGATTGGCTTTCTTTAGGATGTTCACTTCGATGGTTTTCTCCGAAACCAAACGGTAAATGTGTACATCTCTTGTCTGACCAATGCGATGACAGCGATCCTGCGCCTGAGCATCCATGGTGGGATTCCAGTCTGAATCGTAAAATATCACAGTATCTGCACCCGTTAAATTAATACCCACGCCACCGGAACGTGTCGAGAGTATAAAACAGAAAATGCGTTTGTCCGTATTGAAGCGTTCCATTAGTATTTGCCTCTGCTCCACTTTGGTAGCACCATCCAAACGCAAATAAATGTGGCCATGATAGTTGAGGAATGCCTCCAAAACATCCAGCATTTTTGTCATTTGTGTAAAGATCAGGACGCGATGATGATTGTATTTGAGTTGCTTCAAAAGACCATCCAGTGTCTGCAGTTTACCACAATCGTATTGGATGAGACGTGGATCGGGGAATTGAGTGGTCATTGCCGATATGATGGGATGTAACAACGCCAATTTTGGTGACATTTCCTTTTGTATTGTTTGCTCGATGGCACGTTCCCGAGTCATGCGTACAGATGCCAAATTATTCACATAGAAACGTATACGTGGTGCACAAGCGGACGGTACATAGATAACATAATTCTGAAAGATGTGTTTAAGGTCCTGGCAACGTTTTTCATAATTTTTCAGAATTTTATTCAGGGTCCAATTATCATTTGAACGATGCATGGCAGTGTTGCAATTTGTATAACCTCTGGTCTGCCAAGTGGAATACTGCAACAGCCGACTGCCCTCCGAACAATGTTCAATGGATTCACGACAATCGGCTCCATAGATGGGTGTGGCATCGGTACGTCTTTTATTGACATTTGCCATCAATTTCAGCCGAGCCAATCTTTGCTCTTTGCGTTGTTGCAAAATTTCCGACATATTGAAAATGGGATCCAGTTCCGAAGTATTATCCTCATCAGCAGCAGTAGCCGCCGCCACAGCTTCAGTCTTGAGTGTAGAAACATCAGTAGAAGTAGAGCAGGTAATATTTGTGGTGGTCTTGACTTGTTGTGCTAAAACTTTTACCAATGCCTTGTCATCGATAAACTTTTCCGTTTTGATATTATCCACCATCATGTCATCCAAACTCAGGGGATCTTGCAGACGCATTTGTTTGGCAGGTGTTGGGCCGCCCATGGGCGATGACAACGATGATGATGTAGACGACGATACAATTGTAGGAACAGAGGATCTTGTTATCGAGCCAGGTGTAATGGGACCCAATTTCGGCGCACCAATTGGATTAATGACGTTGTTGATACGCTTATTAATTCGATTACTTCCAGTCTCAACAATATCACGCGATGTAAAACCCATGTTGTTAGTAATGGACGCCGCCGCCACCACTGCTGCTGCATTAAGAGGTACAAATTTATTACCCTCCATTTTCATGGCTGGACTTGCTCCCACCTTTACCATTTGTTGACTATGAGCACTGATGTTCTGTTGCACTCGAGTATCACGTATCCTTATATGGAATTTATATTTTCCCGTTGGACATCGTGGTGGTGGATCCGGTAGACTATCAATTTCTTCGATTAGTTTACGTGGCGCCGCCAATAGACGAGATTTATGTGACACATATGCTGTGAGGGTTAACTCCAATTCAATTAGGAGTAGATTTAGGGAGTGTAAATCAATTTGCTGTAATGAAAAGAGGAGAAAGGGATAACAGAAAAAAATTATTATTGTTTTTTTATAAAAAAAAATCGATTTCTATTTTATTTCCTTAAAGAAAAAAAAACAGTACAAATAATTAAATATATATCACAGAAATTATTGTAGATAATAATAAGAGGTGAGTAAATTTTACATCCTTGTCCACCCCTCTACCTAGAACCCTGGGTTTTTTGACGGTTTGCAACTTGGCAGCCAAATGTCTTTTGGCTTCCAAGTTCTTGACATGGTAAGACAAACAAAAAATGCATCCCGAAACTGGAAGCATTAGCATGACTATTTAACGACTTTGTAGTTTAATCTAATAATACTGACTTTCGATGCAAAAAACAAGTCCGTATTAGCGAGATTATTCAGATATTTTATATAAGCATTTTAGCGTAGTTACTTAACTATAAAATAAGTTAAGTCACTGATTGAAATGCTATAGAATTTCCGCAGAACAGAATATTCGACAAATTGTTTTTCAAAAAAAAAAAATCCTACCAGAACTATTTTTACAAATGCTTGTAGTCTAACCTATTAATACCGACTTTCTGTAGGGAAAAACAAGTCCGTATTAGCGAGATTATTCAATTATTTATAATATAAGCATTTTAGCGTAGTTCATTAACTATGGCATTTGAGTTAAGTCACTGATTGAAATGCTAACCAGCAGTAAGGAAAGTAATAAATTCGGACTGGGCCAACTATATGATACCCTACACCATTTTGGGTATATTCTACATAGTATCCTAACAAATGTCGAATAGAACGAAATATATATACATATAAGAACTTTGGTCACCATTTCAATTAAATCGGTCGAAAATATATATTGAAGCTAAATCTGAACCGATTTTCCCGAAACTTAACACACGCCATTCTAGACGCAATTCAGTGAGCTATGCCAAATTACACACCATTTACCTTAAATCGGACGAAAATATATATATGGAGCTAAATCTGACGGAACTTTGTTTCCAGTTTTTCAATAGTTCTTGTAGTCTAATCTATAGACCTCGGATTTTGCATATTTGCATATTTTTTAATAATGAAGATATCGAAATTCTGATTGGACACAAATTCGTTTCAAAGGATTTAGAATTATTTGAAGGGTTCATATTTTTTAATTTTTTGCATATTTGCATATTTTGCATATGCACGAGATATGCAAAAAATATGCAAAATATGCAAAAAATATGCAAAATATGCAAAAAATATGCAAAATATGCAAAATATATGCAACATATGCAAAAAATATGCAAAATATGCAAAATATATGCAAAATATGCAAAAAATATGCAAAATATGCTAGGTCGATATGCAATAAATATGCAAAATATATGCATAAAATATGCAAAATATATGCTAAAATATGCAAAAATATGCAAAATATGCAAAAAATATGCAAAATATGCAAACATATGCAAAATATGCAAAAATATGCAAAATATGCAAAAATATGCAAAATATGCAAAAATATGCAAAATATATGCAAAATATGCAAAATATGCAAAAAGTATGCAAAATATGCAAAATATGCAAAAATATGCAAACATATGCAAAATATGCAAAATATGCAAAAATATGCAAAATATGCAAAAATATGCAAAATATATGCAAAATATGCAAAATATATGCAAAATATGCAAAATATGCAAAAATATGCAAAATATGCAAAATATATGCAAAATATGCAAACATATGCAAAATATGCAAAAATATGCAAACATATGCAAAATATGCAAAAATATGCAAAATATGCAAACATATGCAAAATATGCAAAAATATGCAGAATATGCAAAAAATATGCAAAATATGCAAACATATGCAAAATATGCAAAAATATGGAAACATATGCAAAATATGCAAAAATATGCAAAATATGCAAAAATATGCAAAATATGTGCAAATATGAGCAACATATTTCACATATGCAATCATTTTAATCAAAAAAAAAAAAAAAATTCAGGGTAGTTTTCGAATTTGTGTGCTTTCTTTATTTTTAACCTATAGAAATCTAATTGTGTATGTATGCGTTTCATGGTTCAACTGTTAGATTTTTGGGGCATTATGAAAAATTTGCTAAATATATGTATAAAACATGCAAACATATATAACCGTTATATGGCGATATACTAAAACGTGGACCGATAGTAATAATAATATATGTGCAAAATTTCAAAGTTCTATCTTTAATATTGCGACCTAGCATACCGTGCATATATTTTGCATATTTTTGCATATTTTGCATATGTTTGCATATTTTGCATATGTTTGCATATTTTGCATATATTTTGCATATTTTGCATATTTTTGCATATTTTGCATATCGACAATGCATATTTTGTATATTTTTTGCATATATTTATCGCATATCGACCTAGCATACCGTGCATATTTTTTGCATATATTTTGCATATTTTTGCATATATTTTGCATATTTTTGCATATTTTGCATATTTTTGCATTTTTACAAATTTTGCATATCGACAATGCATATTTTGTATATTTTTTGCATATATTTATCGCATATCGACCTAGCATACCGTGCATATTTTTTGCATATTTTGCATATTTTTGCATATTTTGCATATTTTTTGCATATTTTGTATATTTTTTGCATATATTTATCGCATATCGACCTAGCATACCGTGCATATTTTTTGCATATATTTTGCATATTTTTGCATATATTTTGCATATTTTTGCATATTTTGCATATGTTTGCATATTTTGCATATCGACAATGCATATTTTGTATATTTTTTGCATATATTTATCGCATATCGACCTAGCATACCGTGCATATTTTTTGCATATTTTGCATATTTTTGCATATTTTGCATATTTTTTGCATATTTTGTATATTTTTTGCATATATTTATCGCATATCGACCTAGCATACCGTGCATATTTTTTGCATATATTTTGCATATTTTTGCATATATTTGCATATTTTTGCACATGTTTGCATATATTTTGCATATTTTGCATATCGACAATGCATATTTTTTGCATATATTTATCGCATATCGACCTAGCATACCGTGCATATTTTTTGCATATTTTTGCATATTTTGCATATTTTTTGCATATTTTGCATATTTTTTGCATATTTTGCATATTTTTTGCATATTTTGCATATTTTGCATATTTTTGCATATTTTGCATATCGACAATGCATATTTTGTATATTTTTTGCATATATTTATCGCATATCGACCTAGCATACCGTGCATATTTTTTGCATATTTTGCATATTTTTGCATATTTTGCATATTTTTTGCATATTTTGCATATTTTTTGCATATTTTGCATATTTTTTGCATATTTTGCATATTTTTTGCATATTTTGCATATTTTTTGCATATATTTTGCATATTTTTTGCATATATTTTGCATATTTTTTGCATATTTTTGACATGACCCCAAATATCGATCAATTAAAGCATGAAACGCCTAAATACAAAATTTGAGTCCAATCGGATAAAGCATAAAAAATATGCAAAAATCCGAGGTCTACTAATCTATTAACACTGCCTTTCGAAAATGACACAAGACAGAGTTAGCGAGATTATTCATTAAAATTATTGATGTAAGCATCTTAGCGTAGTTCTTTAACTATAACAATGGGAGTTAAGTCACTGATTGAGATGCTAAAAAAAGGCGATATGGAACAAAATTTTATAATATTTGCTCCTATTCCATATTAAAACAATTTTATTCTGGCTATTGAATCACAACATGTAGTCTAAAATATCTATTCTGGCTGTTGAACACAAGGCCACAATAGCGAAAATTAGTCTATATATTTTCTTTAAGCATCAGTTAGATTTTAAGTCACTTTCAAAACTATTGAAAAAAAGTGGTTATGAAAGACATTTTTGATGCTAAAAACTTTGGTCTAAATAATCATCAATTGTTGTAGCTTAATCTATTAACACTACCTTTCGAATAATGTAACAAGATAGAATTAGCGAGATTATTCAAAATTATTTGATGTAAGCATCTTAGCGTAGTTCGTTAACTATGTAAAGTAAGTTAAGTCACTGATTGAGATGCTATAAAAACGACATCGTACAAAATACTTCTAAAACATAGTATATACTAATAATACTTTCCAAAAAGTATATATTCGGACTATTCCTAATAGGAAAAATCTGCTAAGCAGATATAAATATATATTTCATATAAATATTGTTGTTTAATCTATTAACACTGTCTTTCGAAAATCAAACAAGACAGAGTTAGCGAGATTATTCATTGTTCTTAATGTAAGCATCTTAGCGTAGTTCATTAACTATGTAATCGGAGTTTAGTCACTGATTGAGATGCTAGGACAAGAAAAATACATTTCAAAATACCTCTAAAAAAGCATTTGTAGTCTAAAATATCTATCATGGATGTTTAACAAGTCCATAATAGCGAAAATCAGTCTTTAGTTTAATATAAGCATCATAATTAAAACTCATAACATTCACAAAATATTTCATAAAAAATGAGGTTAGGAATGTTATTTGTTGATGCTATACTTCAATATAAATGTAAGGGAATATTTAAAAAAATGAAATTTTTTATCAAAATGTTGTCTCAATCGCACCAATATTGGCAGTATGGTGCTCTATTTACATACAACGAATCTGTTATATGAACCGAATTCAACATAACTCCGATTTCAAAAATCTGGACCTAATTCAGAACTCTGTTCAAAATTTTGTCTCAATCGGACCAATATTGACAAGAATGGTGCTCCATTCACATAAAACCGGACTAAACTATATTTGGGAACTATATCTAATCTGAACCGATTCCAACAAAACTTGGCTTATATCAATATAGGCCTAATTAAGTACGCTGTGTAAAATTTGATCTCAATCGGACAAATATTGGGAGTTTAATGCATCATTCAAATTGTATATTGGAGCTATATCTAAATCTAAACCGATTTCAAACAAAACTTCGCATACATCATTTGGACCTAAGTCAGTATACAACCCTAGGTGGTAAAATCCCCATATTATTTTTATTTATTCATTCATGTAATACAAGGCCTATAAGACCATATTTAATGTTACGTAGTTAACAACAAACCCGAGCTTATAAAAACTAATATTCACTATAAAATACTAAAATTTTAATTTTAAATATTTTCTTCTTGGCTCCCTACATCTTCCTATAGGGTATCTCGACGAATACTATAGAATCAGCTTTTAAATTTACCAAAGGGATCAATGTCGTTAAATACTTCGTTATTAGAAAACTTACCGTAAATGGATCATATTCCATTAGATCACAGACCAAACGTGACGTTTCAAATGTAATACCCTCCATTTGAAATGGTGATATCGTTGGACGTACTTCAAACATATTCGGATGATTGCAGACTTTACGCAATTGCATTAAAATATTTATAACACTCAGCAAATTGCCAGTTTGCAAGGTTTCCTTTGTTCTGTAAAAAAAAAGTGAAATACAATACAATTAAAAATCATATTCTATTTAATTTGAATAAAGAAAAAAAAAACATGGAATTTTTTCCCATTTTGTGGCATACGAACTTACTTCGCTCGACTCATAAAATCATCGTACAGATAACGTTGACGATTCGACAGACGACACATAACAACATGTTCGTATTTTTTGGGCATTTGTTTTTCGACTTCCTTTTTAAGGCGTCGCAACAAGAACGGCCGTATAACTTTGTGCAGACGTTGTATTAACGTCTCATTATATTCCATATTGCCTTCAATCATGCCGGTCATTGGATTAGAGAACCATTCTTTGAATTCACGATGCGATGAGAATACATAGGGCATTAGGAAATGCATAAGTGACCACAATTCCATAAGATCATTTTGTAATGGTGTACCGGTGAGTAGTAAACGTCTGGAAGAGAAAGAGAATAAATCAAATTAGTATTCAAAATGAAGATTGATAAACTATATAAACATATTTATAACATGCATTTTTATAAATTTTTAAGAACTAAGATGTGTCTAAAAAAGAATTAGATTCCCATTTGCAAGTATTAAAACATACAAATAAATTGGACAATTTTTTAATTTGAAATATTAGAATGTTCACTAATTCTAATATTGTGACTGGTAAACAGTTGCACAATAGCGAAAATTAGTCAATGTTTTATCTAAGCATCGTTACGAAATGTCAAATAGTTTTTCTTGATTGTACGTAATTCATATCAAGTATTTGACTTTGATGCTATGATAGACAAACACCAAAACTATTTTCAATTTCCATGTAGTTTAATCTAATAATACCGGCTGTTGGTTTATTTATAACGAACCGATATTAGCGAGATTATTCCAAAATTTTAATATAAGCACTTTAGCGTGGATCAATAACTATATGGATAAGAATTATATCACCGATTGAAGTGCTACATATTTATAGTGGACTCAGAAAGCAAATTAAAATTAAAAAAAAAATCATAATTTTTTCTTCTATAGAAAAAATCTGGTTTCGGTTAATGAAGAATTTTTTCCGTAGAATAAAATCAGGATTCAGTATAACAGGCGTTAATGGAGAATTTTTTCTGTAGAAGAAAATCAGGGGAGCTTTTGGGAGCTTTATTTAAATCTGAACCGATTTTCACGAAACTTAGCACACATCATTATAGACACTATTCAGTACCCTATGTCAAATTTCGTGCGTATCAAAAGATATTTAGGGACTTTGGCGCACCATTTACATTATATCGGACGAAAATATATATGGGAGCTATATCTAAATCTGAACCAATTTTCATGAAACTTAGCACGCATTATTTTAAACACAATTCAGTACGCTATGCCACATTTCGCACATCGAAAGCCATAGAGGTACTATGGTGCACCATTTACTTTAAATCGGACGAAAATATATATATGGGAGCTATATTTAAATCTGAAATTGAAATTTTTCCCAATTTCAATGGGGTTCGTCCTTGGGCCAAATAGATGAGCTGTGCCAAA